ATCTTGGAGCCGCATTAGGGACTCGAATGGCCATCGGAGGTTCGGAAAACAAAAAAAAAAAAAAAAAAAAAAACGATAACCCCAACACATTGATTTCCCAATGGTTTCGGAAGGGCTTTGGCCTCTTAAGGGGGATCATGGGGGCTTTCCTTGGCCACTTGGAGCCGTCTTGGAGCGGTCTTAGGGCATCTTGGAGCATCGTGGGAGCATGAAGCCTTCATACAATCAATGATTGTGGCATTCTCGCCGTGGCCTCTTGGATCGCTTTTTGGTGCCTCTGGGGGACCTCTTGGGGCCTGTTGGGGGTCTCTTGGGAGCCTCCTTTTGGAGGCCTTTTGGCGCCTCCTGGCCACCTTTTGGGGCACCCTTGGGAGCCGGGGACCATCTTTGGGTCATCTTGGGCGAGATCGATCAGAGGGGGGGGGGGCCCTAATTTACCTTTCCCCCCAGGGCCCCAGGGGGCCAAAATGGGGCCCAAACCTTAGTAACACCAGCGAAGTTGGCTCCCCACCGAGGCCGTTTTGGACGCTCCAACTACCCACGGAAACCCCCGTCGAGGTCCAGGGGAGGGGGTAGGGGGAGGGATCAAGTTAGCCAGTTCGGACGAGCCACAGGGTTCCGTCCACTCCCACCCGCCCTCCCACAACATAAGAAGCAAGTGCGTCGCGTCCGACGCCTGTCGTTCATCTCATATCGCGGGCGGCTAGACGTTCAGCGCGCGACATGAGCTGCGTCCTATTCCTGCCGCGTGTTGAGCAACGTCGACGAGAAACAAGACCGCGCGCGATGTACGCCGCGCCCCGCTCCGGCCTTTCATGTTGCATCGTCGGCGACAACATGTCCAGCGCGCGAAGTGCGCCGCCAGCCACGCGTGTTGTACCACCAATCGTTTCGCCCCTGCCGCGCATAGAGGAGGGGGAGGGGGAGGAAGAGAAGGAGGAGGAGGAGGAGGAGGAGGCGGAGGCGGAGGCGGAGGCGGAGGCGGAGGGGAGGGAGAGAGGGAGGGAGGGAGAATCTGAGGAGGAAGAGGAGAATGCCTCTTGGGAATTCGCGGGGCGTCCCATTCCCGCTACGTTATTCGCAGCGCCGACGAGGAGAAAGTACAGGTTGGCAAGAAAAACGTCGACGTTGCTGTGTTTTTTGGACAGGTTGGACGGGGGGTCCCGCGTAAGGTTGGCCAGGCGTCCGCGCGCGATGTGCGCCGCGTCCCATTCCTCTTACATTTTTCGCAGCGTCGACGACAAGAATTTCCATGTTGACGAGAGAAGCGTTGACGTTGTATTGTTTTTTTGGTGGGTAGGACGCGGCCACCCGCTTCCGGTTACCCAAGTGATGGTCGTTCCGTCCTATTCTTCCTACATGTTTTTCAATTCGACGTCACGCTGGCGAGAAAAAAGTTTAGTGTGTGCTGATTGTTTGGCAGTTAGGACGGCGGGGCTGCCATCGGCCAGCTAGGTGGGGATGTGGGCGTGCTTAATCATTGGAAGTAAAGATGAACCCTCCCCCGAAGGAGAAGAAAAGGGTTCGAAGAGAAAACCCCCTAGACCACGTACGCCCTAAAGGGATGATGGGACGATCCAGGCGAAGGACCCAATCATGTGCAGTTGTGAGTACCGCGTTGTGGGCACCGTTTTCGGTAGAGCTCTTTATAAGGCCACGAAGCGTTTCAGGAGTGTGCCGTAATGTGTGGGGGAGACACGTGCGGCCGCGGCCATTGGGATCTTCGGTGGAATGTCCCTATGGGGGCACGACCACGAAGCGCTGTACTGGGTGGGGGAACGCATGCGGCCGCGGCCATTGGAGTTTTCGGTGGGATTCCCTTTGGGGGCACGAACGTTGTACTGGGTGGGTGAGATGCATGCGGCCGTGGCCACTGGAGTCTTCGGTGGAGCTTCTTATGGGGACACGAAAAAATCAATTGCGCGTGGGAGACGCATGCGGCCGCGCGGCCGCGGCCACTGATGCCTTCAGTGGAGCTCCCTATGGGGCCACGAAGCGTTGTACTGGGCGTGGGAAACGCATGCGGCCGCGGCCATTGGGGTCCTCGGTGGAGCTTCCTCGGGGGACCACGAAACGCTGCACTGGGTAAAAAAACGCATGCGGACGTCGCTTCCGGGGCCTTCGGTGGAGCTTCCTATGGGGCCACGAAGCGTTGCATTGGGCGGGGGAAGCGCATGCGAGCATCGGCCCTGTGGCTTTCGGTGGAGATCCCTGTCGGACCACGAAACGTCGTGTTGGGCGGGGAATGCGCATGCCAACGTCGCCTCTGGGGCCTGCGGCGGAATTCCTTATGGGCCACGAAACGGTGTACGGGGCGGAAAAAATCATGCGAGCGTCGCCTCTGTCGCCTCCGGAGGAGCTTCCCGTGGGGCCGCGAAACGTGGTGTTGAGTGAGGAACGCGCATGCGAACGTCGTCTCCGGGGCTGTCGGTGGAGCTCCCTATGGGGTCACGAAACGTTGTGCTGGGTGGGGTAATCTAAAGCGGACGGCACCTCTGGGGCTTTTGGTGGAGTTCCTTAGGGACCGAGGAAGCCGCGAAAAAGTGTATTGGGCAGGGAAAACGCATGCGAACGTCGCCTTTGTGGTTTTCGGTGGAACTCCCCATTGGGCCACGAAACGTGTGAGGGGTACAGTCGAGCCAGATTAGTAGGTCGACCCTGCCAAATCAAGGGTACCCTTGTGTCCTGTGCCTCGCGACCCATGCTTCTACATTCATATGGCAATGTGGCCTTCGGAAGAGTCTTGTGTCCTCTCGCGTGTCCTTTTCAATCCACCCCGACTGTAGGCCGAACTGGATGGCGGGGGCTCTCCATGGGGCCAGAAGACGTGGTAAGGGTGTCCCGAATCGGATGTGGGGACGCACGCGAGCACCGCCATTGGGGCATTCGGCGGAGCTTCTTATTTTCCACGAAACGTGTGAGAGGTGGAGGCGTGTGAGGGATGTGTCCACATAGGTGGCGGGGATGCATGCGAACACCGCCAATGGGGCCTTCGGTGGAGATCCCCATGGGGCAACGAAAGAGGGGTGTCCCGAATCGGGTGCGGGAACGCAAGCGAACACCGCCAGTGTGTCCTTCGGTGGAGCTCCATATTGGAGCACGCATGCGAACACCGCCACTGGGGACTTCGTTGGAGCTCCCTATGGGGCCACGAAGCGTGAGAGGGTTGTGCCACCATGGGAGGGAGGAGGGGGAGGATGGAAGGAAGGAAAGAAGGAATGACAAACGGAATGAAGAAAGGACGGAAGGAAAGAACGCGGGGCGTTGTCTCCTCAAAACGAGCACCCAACACCACAGGATGGTTGGGAACAATCAATGCTAAGTGATCGCCGGGCGTCCGCGCATGATCCACATTTTGGTGCAAAGTTCATGCGCATTGTTCCCAACCATCCTGTGGGGTTGGGTCCTCGTTTTGAAGAGACAGCGCCCCGCGTCACCTCACTCACTCACGCTATCCCCTCCTTCCTTCCCATCCCTGCCTCTGCTCTCCGCATGTCCACTACTTCGGCACACCCCTCACACGTTTCGTGGCCACATAGGGAGCTCCACTAAAGGCCCCAGTGCCACCGTCCACATGCGTCCGCCACACCCATTTCGGCATACCCCTCACACGTTTCGTGGTCCCATAGGGAGCTCCACCGAAGGCACCAGTGCCACCGTCCACATGCGTCCGCCACACCAATGTCGGCACACCCCTCACACGTCTCGTGGCCCCATAGGGATCTCCACTGAAGGCCCCAGTGCCACCGTCCACATGCGTCCGCCACACCCATTTCGGCATACCCCTCACACGCTTCGTGGCCCCATACCACCCAAGGCGCCAGTGCCACCGTCCACATGCGTCCGCCACACCCATGTCGGCACACCCCTCACACGTTTCGTGGCCCCATAGGGAGCTCCACCCAAGGCACCAGTGCCACCGTCCACATGCCACACCCATTTCGGTACCACACCCGTTTCGGCAAACCCCTCACACGTCTCGTGGCCCATCGGGAGCTTCACCGAAGACCCCAGAGGCACCGTCCACATGCGGCCGCCACACCCAATCCGGCACGCCACTTACACGGTTCGTGGACACATAGGGAGCTCCACCCAAGGCACCAGTGCCACCGTCCACATTCGTCCGCCACACCCATTTCGGCAGTGGCCCCGTAGGGAGCTCCACCCAAGGCCCCAGTGGCACCGTCCACGTGCGTCCGCCACACCCATGTCGGCACACCCCTCACACGTTTCGTGGCCCCATAGGGAGCTCCACCCAAGGCACCAGTGGCACCGTCCACATGCGTCCGCCACACCCATTTCGACATACCCCTCACACGTTTCGTGGCTCCATCGGGAGCTCCACTCAAGTCCCCAGTGGCACCGTCCACATACGTCCGCCATACCCATTTCGGCGCACCCCTCACACGTTTCGAGGCCTCATATGGAGCTCCACCGAAGATGATACTCACGACTGCGGTGCTCACATCTGCAGATGGTTGGGTCATTCGCCATGATAACTGTTGCAAGGGACGGTGGGTGGGGTGTCATTGCACACCGCAGGCAATATACCAGCCCCCCCCGCCGTCATTGTCAAAAACCATGCAAACTGATCGCGGGGCGCCCGCGCATGCTACAGATGTTGGTGCAAAGTGCTCTTGGTCTCGGTTTTGCCAGGGACGGGGGGGCCGCTCACGGATAGGTCACCTCCGTCCAGGGCCAGAGTATTTTCGCTCAAGCCACTCCCCCCTTGTGTGGTTGGCACGGTGATGTCGTAGTCGTGTTTCTCTGGGGCGTCGCGCATGCGTGTGGGTGTTAGAGTAGGCACGTCAAATAAGAAATCGGGGTGCCAGCAGGTGCACCACAGAAGTCTGTTGTCCCACAATGGCCCCAGGGGCTCGCAGAAGCCTTGGGGCACCTCAGGAATCTCGATCGAACCTCGACGATGTGTGTGTGTGTGTGTGCCCCAAGGTGTCTTGCAGCAAGATGTCTTACCGTCCGTGCCTGCTGTACCGGGCCCGAGTGGCCACGGGCGGCGATGGTGCTTCTGCGAGCGGCATCGCTCGCGTGCCTCGGCTCCTGCGCCGCGGCGGCGCTGGCGGTGCGGCCCGTGCGGCGGCGCGAGCTGGGCTGGTTCGAGCACGAGTGCTGGGGCGACATCGAGTTCCTCGCCGAGCTCGCGGGCGCGGAGGCCCGGCTGGGCGAGCCGGTCGCGCTGCGGCTCGAGGTCGTGAACAATTGCAAGGCTTGCCGCAGGCCGATCCCGAGGGGCAGCTGGGTCTGGGTCGAGGACGGGCGGCGGGAGGCCCCCTACTTTCTGCGGAGTTCGAGCGAGTTCACGGAGGCGCTGGGCTGCCCCGGGCGGCGCGTCTTCTCCGTGGGGCTCCGGGTGAGGGGGGAGGGCAGGAGCGTCGCCGAGCTGCCGGTGCGCCTGAACATCTCCCTGCAGAACGATCGTGCCATTGACGTCGCCGAGGGTGCCGCGGTGGTCGGCTTCCCCTTCTACGCCGCTCGCTCCAGCTTCGAGGTCGAGGGTGCTCACGACCTGCTGCTCGTCGGCGTGCCTGGCGTGGGCAAGACGACCTTCATCTCGGGCAGTGCCAAGGGGGGGTCACCACTCGGCGGCGAACCCGGGAGGAAGTGAGAAGGGGCGGGCCTTCTTAAAAGGTGATCGTTTTCTTATTCAGTGTGTTGCCGATCGGCGCTGGCCTCGCATCCCCTCCCCACCCCCCTATGGAGTATATCTTGGCTGTTCTGGGCGCCCGTCTCAAGCAGGTGGAGTCTCCCCCACAGGACGTACTGTTGCAAATAGTCGCATTAAAGCAGAGGTCCAGAGCCAGACACTCTCCCTCCTCTCCCCTTCCGCCCAATGTCGAAACGCCGAATAAGAAAACGGTCACAAGGCTCGGAAGTCCCTCAGCCTCTTCTGAGGTTTTCCAAGCCTTGCCCGAGGACAAATTACCCTGTGACGTATCTTTGCCCAAGGACAAGTTGCCCTGAGGAGTTGGCCCAAACCTGCCAGGACAATGACCGTGCAGGCGCCGCTGTATGCTGTGCACGCTACATGGGATGCGCTCACGCACGTGGCACGATTTACAGGACAACGACAGAAGGACGACGGACGAGGGCCTGGGCTTGAGGAGGACATAGGGGCGGGAACGAAGGGCAGGAGAAGGACGCCTGGGGGGCCGAACCGTCAACGCGGCAGCAGCAGAGGGAAAGTGGCAGGGGGCAGAGAGGACGACGACGAAAGTAACGGGAGGAGACCGAAGAGTGCTGCTTTTGTCGGTGGTACGCTAAAGATGCAGCGCTGCCTGCGCCATGTCGCCGCCGCGCTAGACAAAATGATGGCACTTGCTTGTTGTCAGCGCAAGAAGCGAGAGAGGCTTAGCTCGCCCGCCAGTTTCCTTGCTTCCTTCCTGCACTTCTCAGTGCGGGGGCTAAGCGCTCGAAGGCGCGCCGCCAGGTCTGCGGGCGGCCCGCGACGGCGCCCCGCTGGAACCCCCAGCAACCCTCGAAAATGGCGACAGCTTCGCAGATCAGAGCCCCCCACGGATGGCGAGGTCTAGTCTGAATCTGAGTGGTGCCTCATTCCGCTGGACCCACCAGCAACCCTCGAAAGTGACGACAGTTTCGCAGATCGCAGCCCCCCAGGGACGCCGAGGTTTAATCTGAATTTGGGTGGTGCCTCACTCCGCTGGACCCACCAGCAGCCCTCGAAAGTGGCGACAGTTTCGCAGATCGCAGCCCCCCAGGGATGGCGAGGTCTAATCTGAAGTTGGGTGGTGCTGCACACCGCTTGGCCCACCAGCGCCCTGAAAACTTGCGACCGATTCGCGGATTGCCCCCCGGAGATGGCGAGGGCAAACCAGGCAAACGGCAAGAGAGAAGGGGAGGAGCGACGAGAGGAGGAAAAGGAACACAGGAGAGCAGATGGGGAGGGAAGAGAGGAAGCGGGAAGGAGGAGGAGGAGGAGAAGGAGGATGCGACCACAGTGCTTTGCTCAAAACGAGTACCCAACGCAGGACTGTTGGGACAAACTTTTTGGGAGAGATTTTGAAAAGGTTTGTTCCTTCTCACTTCCGCTCTTCATTCGCCGCCGAACCATTATGGGGTGTGGCCAGACCCTCGTGGAAATCGAGGTTCCATGATCAGAGCCCGAGGAGCCACTCGGACATTTTAGGGTCGATCGGGGCTGTTCTGGGGTGTCCTGGGGGGGGCGCACTTCCTCGAGGACCTGGCGTTGCCTCGAGGGAGTGACGACCCCTGCCCCCGAATGGCGACCCCCCATGTCGGGAGTTTGTAGAAGGGGGGGTGTCCCAGGGTGCGGTTTAAGGAGCGAACGAGCGCAGTTGGATGCCCAGGGTATTGGAAAGACCGTTTGTTTCACCCTCGGGTTCTCTTTATACCCTTGCAAGTCTGATTTAAAGTTGTCTCGCCCGCGCGTTGCAGCCGCCTGCACGAGGGAACTCCGCAGCCGCTTCTGGCCAAGAAGAGGACCCAGAGTCCGCAACGCGTCGCCAACAAATAGTGGTTGAGATCGGGAATACACCAAGTTCCTTCTTACAGAGGCTGCTTGGGATTGTTTTCCTCCCAACCCCACCTTTGCCCCAACCCCGCCTTCACGTCCCGCCGACCTTGGCAGTGCCCCATCATCATGAGTGGGATCTCGGCACTTTCGCCTGTGCCCAGACAGCTGCAGAACTTGGGCGGCGCGACGCTGGAGGGGCACACGACGCTGATGTCGAAGAAGGAAAGTCTGCGCAAGCATGAGCCTTCGGACCCCCTGGAGAAAAGGTACCGATGCCGCTACGTGTCCCTCGTTTTCTCCTTCCTGGGCCTTTTAGGAGGCCCTCGTCGGCATTGTTGGATTCGCCTCGAAATTTTAGATAGAGCGCACCATGGGAGAGGTCCAGGGAAATAGGGTCAGAAGGAGCAACAGATGCATTGACGTTTGGACCTCCGCGCGGATTTCTTGGATCGGCGCTCGGGTCCCCTAGCGGCGTTTCCAGCGCCGCTTCATGGCGCGCTACACGCATCAGGGAGAGGGGTCCAGCGCAGATCCGAGAAATCCGCGCGGAGCTCCGAAATTGTGTGCGTGTGTGTTGTGCTGTTGTTTCTTCTTCAATGATGGTGACGCGGTATCCTCTTGACGACTGGACCGAGAGCGGTCGGATCCAGATCAACCTTTGGGACACTTGGGGCCTGAGGCCACAGAACTTCTCGGTCGAGTTTCTGGAGGAGCTCTGCAAGGGCCAGGTGTCTCATGGCTTCCAGATGCAGGCCTACGAGCGCGGGGAAAGTGGCGCCGGAAGATGGGCTAAGCTTTTTTCAGCTCAGAAGATGGGCTCCGTGCTTTTCTTCGTGCGGGCGGACCAGATCAAGCACCCCGAAGGATTGCCAGCCATGAGAAGTTATTTGAATCACGCCAAAAATCTCGGGAAGGGCGCCATCCTCGTCGTGACCTGGTTGCATACAGTCCCGAATCCCGATGGCGTCCTTGCGGACTTGAGGCGCAGGCTGCAGATCCCTGTGCTCCCCTTCACGCGGGGCTGTCATCCTGACTGCAGCTTTCAGGCCCCTTCCGAGGTGCCCAGCGTAGTATCCGGGAAGGACCCCGAGGTGGATAAGCATGTGCTGGTCATCTTGGAGAAGGCGTTGGAACTCTCCCAGGCAGCCGAAAAGGTGGACGCGGCCGCCTCATGGTCGACCTGGGCGCAGGGCAAGCACAGGCGTCTCGCCAAGTCCTTGGAAGCCTTTTGCGCTTGGCTCCAGTCGGCCGCTTGGGGCAGTGAGACAGTAATTGTTTGTTCCTTGAGTGTTGTGGCAGTAGTGGCTGGGCGCTCGCGCTGGCGCACTCTAAACTCTCTCGAGTTAAGTGTGGCTAGGGTGCCCGTGCACCGACGCAGGGAGGTGGTCGTCTCACCTCTCTTGAGGCAGCTGCTCATCATGGTCACACTCTTGTACATCCCGTTGTTGCAGCAGTCTTTACCCGCGGTGGAAAAGTGGGTTGTTCACAGCAGCACAATCTGCTCGAAAGGAGGCGGCACCAGTCCTATAATCCAGGCCCCTGCAGAAGTAGCCAGCATCACTGATGCAGAGTGCAGGGCTGAATGCCGATGGCATCCCGAGTGCGCCGCGTATGTTCTCAGCAGTCGCCGCGGTTTTTTTCAGCAGTCGCCGCGTTGCGAGCTCTTCCGCCATTGCGATCTGCAACATGCTGAAGGCAGTACAGCGTTCTTGAAGCCTGTGCCATCTTTGGCAGCGAATCTCACTAAACTCGCTTATGTACTGCAGGTGGTGTTAAATCTATTCGGGCCCAGCTGGAACTCTGGAAGGTGCTACTGCCTCACAGGGCTGCTTTGCTTCGCCTCAGTGCGGCTCTGTTGGGGCTCGCCCCCCACCTCATCCCCCAGCCTGTTGCTAATGTTGCACTTGGCGAACGTGCTTGTGCTGTTTGCGATGGACAGCCATCTTCGAGAGCGCCTCGCATCGGTCATAAGAGAGGAAAGCACGACGCCGCAGCGCCTCAAGGACTTGAAGGATAAGCTCATCGAGTACGCGAGTGCGCATGGAAACTTGCTGAGGGGCCAGCACGCGTGGGCGGCCCAAGCGGACATACTCCTCGGATTGATCGTGTTGGTTTGCGTCATGGCCTTCGTCGGCCGCTGTGCCAGCGGCCTATCGGGAACAGAAGCGGGTCCTCGCACTAACGTTCTGTCCATCATCACCACATTTGCCAGCTTGCGCCAAGTCAGCCGACACAGTTCGAACATCTTCTCGGGCTGAAGGGCAGAGGGTGAAAATCCAAATGCCGTTTGTAAGGAGGTACAAAACACACAGACACAAAGAGTCGTCGATACCCATGAAAAGATAGCAAAATACGGGACTTGGCGGGGAAGAGCACCATCCGGAAAGCATGGACAAAATATGGGGAGTCTTGGGATTTGAAAATGTGTATTTGTGTGTCTTGAGCCCCTCCCGTTTGGCCCCAAACATCGCCACCCGTCAGTTCCTCCCCCTCTTCCTCCCCATCCCTTCCCTCTCCGCCGCCTGCACCCATATGGGTTGCACTTTGGGCCCCCCACCCCAAGACAATGCTCAGGCCTTGGGGCCCACATGCGTCTCTTCTTGGGCCTGTTGTGCGCTTTCGGGACGCGCGAATTTCCGGCGAAGCATTTTTGTGTTGTGCGACCGTGCGGGAAGTCCGGAACCGTGCCAAAACGGAGCCCTGTTGGGCCGCCCTGGTGTCCTCTTGGAGCCGTCTTGGGGCACTCTTCAGCGCTCAGAAGGGCCTACTGTGAAGACTAGCCTGAGAAGCAACAAGCGTTGAGAAACCCAGGGTTTCGTCGGATGATATCGCCCTCGGGGGCCTCAATCATGAGTTCTTTGGCAACGTCGAGCCGCGTTGGGGTTGTCGTGAGGCATGGAGCCGCATGATGGAGGCCATCTTGGAACAAGCCCGACCATCCGCCGCCATCTTGGAGGCCATTCGGGGCCACCTTGGAGCCGCCGAGACGACGTTGCGACGCCCGAGCCACTCCCGCCCCGCTCGAGCTTGAGACCCCCCTGCGTCCCTCGGAGAGGGGCCTGGGGAGGGGCAGGGCTGGACCTAAACGGCGTTTCGGCCATCCCGTGGCCCGTTTTGCGTTCCGTTTTGTTTTGCATTCAAGGCGAGCGAAGGCAAAACGAGGAAGAGCGAAAAACGAAACGAAAAGTATAAGACACCGTGTGGGCTCAGCCTTGGGGGGGGGGTAATCGGGCCGTGCCAAGGGGGGTCAGCACCGGGGGCGGGGGGGGGCACCAGCTCCTCTTGGAAATCGAGGCTCGGGGAGGAGGGATGATGTCATCGAGGATCGAGGAGGATCGAGGACCGAGGATCGAGGAGGAGGGGGAGGATCGATCCTGGAGGAGGTGTTGACGTTTGGGGCTGTCTCTGGGAGCCGTGGGGCGTCCAGGGGGCTGCGCTCCCTCGAGGAGTTGGCGACCCCCGTAGCGGTGACCCCCCTTGGCGCTGCCGGGGGAAGGACCTCACACGCCGCGTGGCCCCCGAGTGGTCAGCGAATATTTTGTGGGAGTCAACTCGAACGTCTTCATGAGGACTGTCGTCGAGGCGTTCGGCGTGTTTGTGTTCAGCAGCCCGATCGCGTTCGGCCTGCAGAAGGTCCGCACGGGCCTCGGCAGGCTCTGCGAGGATCCCGGCGCAGACCTGGAGCAGGCCGCCGCCATCATCGCCAACAAGATCTTCAGAGTGGAGACGATGCTCTCTTGCCTGAAGGGTGAGCTCCGGGTGCGGTCCGAGGTGGGGAGGGTTGAGCTTGAGGATATGGCGGAGACTCGAAGGACAAAACGCGGTATAAGCAGAAATTTTCGGAGGCCCGCGCGAATCCCGTGGATCGGCGCTGGGCCCCCCTCCTCCCTGGCGCGCGTAGTGCGTCAGGGTTGGGGCTGGAGGAGCAGCCAGGGGGACCCAGCGCCGATCCAAGAAATCCTGGGGGATCTCAAGCGATCCCGTTTCTCCGTGGACCTCTCCCGGGGTGCGTTCTGACCAGAACTTCGAGGCGAGTCAAGTCCAGCCGTGGCGACGAGGGCCTCCAGAGCCCCGAAAAAGGCAAGCGTCGCTCTTTTCCTCCAGTAGCGGCATAGCGGAGAGAAAGTCCAGTCCAGTCCAGTCCAGAAGCCTTGCGCCAGCCACAGCGCGTGAGCAATGAGTGAAACATGTGCACGGAAGCGGATGCCTTCAGCACGCCTTCAGCGTGGAGGGAAAGGTATCGGTAGATCGGTACCTCTTATTCCGCGACGTTCCGAAAGTTTATGCTTGCGCCGTGCGTTGTGCTTCGAGGCAGACCCGCCTGGGCCTCCCGAGCGCCAGCCCTGAGAGTAGCGCCCTGGTCTGCGCCGCCGCGGCCTACTTCGCCCACGCCCGCGACGACGAGGCCGCCACGAGGGCCCTCGAGGAGTCAGAGGAACAAATATACACACGGATCATTTCTAAGTATTTGAAAGTTCTTTGATTTTGGGGGGGACCAAGATCCTTTCATTTCTAAGTGTTTTATCCTGGGCCTCTTCCTGGCCAGTGGGGGGCCAGGAACAATTAGAAACGAGCACAGTCAGAAATGAGTACGATTAGAAATGAACGACGCGTAATCAATACACGACAAAGATGCCCCCGAAAGGAGAGTCCTCGATTTGGCCAGGGAGCGCGCCGATCCTGTGCGGAAGGGGGACCCGTCGATAGCCACCCGCTTTAATCCATGTCTGCCCTTTGTCGAGACTTGTCCTGGTCGCCAGAAGTCTGGGTCCGTTGCTACCTTCGCGAGGAGCAACAAGTTATCCTGGCGAAGAAACCAACCATATGCAGTTGTGAGTACCGTTGTTGCGGGTATCGCCTATCGGGGGATCTCCTCATGAGGCCATGAAGAATGCGAAGGGTGTGCCGATGTGGGGCGGGGCCGCCATGTGGGCGCCGCCACTGGTGCTGTTCAGGCGGAGCGCACAACGGGGCCGCGAAAAGTGTGAGGGGTGCGCCGCAATGGGGCGTGACCGCCACTGGGCGGGCCCTTCGGTGGAGCTCCCTATGGGGCCACGGAGCGTTGTCTTCGGTGGGGGTGACGCATGCGAATACAGCCACTGGAGCCTTCGGTGGAGCTCCCTATGGGGTCACGAAGCGCTGTGCTGGGTGGTAGGAACGCATGCGAACACCGCCACTGGGGCCTTCGGTGGAACTCTTTAGTTAAGAGGCCATGAAGCTCGATACTGGATGGGGGAAACGCGTTCGAACACCGCCACTGCAGCCTTCGGTGGAGCTCCCTGTAGGGCCACGAAACGCCGTACTGGGCGGGAGTGACGCATGCGAGAGCAACCACTGTGGCCTTCGGTGGAGTTCCCTATGGGGCCACGAATCGCTGTACTGGGTGGGGCTGGCGCGTGCGAGTGGTGCCACTGGGGCCTTCGGTGGAGCGCCCTACTGGGCTACGGAACGCTGTACTGGGCGGGGATGACGCATGCCAGCGGTGCCAGTGGGGCTTTTGGTTGAGCTCCTTACAGGGCCACGAAATGTTATACTGGATGGGTGAGACGCATGCGGGCGGTGCCATTGGGGGCTTCGGTGGAGTTCCCTATGAAGCCACGAGTCGCTGCACTGGGTGGGGGTGACGCACGCGGGCGGTGCCAGTGGGGCCTCCAGTGGAGCTCCCTATGGGGCTACGAAGCGCTGTACTGTGTGGGGGTGGAGCATGCGAGCGGTGCCAGTGGGGCCTTCGGTGGAGCTCCCTATGGGGCCACGGAGCGTTGTCTTCGGTGGGGGTGACGCATGCGGGCGGTGCCTTGGGACCTTCGGTGGAGCTCGCTATGGGGCCACGAAGCGCTGTGATGGGTGAGGGTGACGCATGCGGGCGTCGCCACTGGGGCCTTCGGTGGAGCTCGCTATGGGGCCACGGGGCGCTGTACTGGGTGGGGGGTGGGTGATGATGCTTACGATGATGATGATGATGATGATGATGATGATGATGATGATGATGATGATGATGATGATGATGATGATGATGATGATGATGATGATGATGATGATAGTGGAGGGAGGAGAAGGGGGAGGAGAAAAGAGTGAGGGACGCGGGGCGCTGTCTTTTCAAAACGGGGACCCAACACCACACAATGGTTTGGAACAAGATACACGTAATTTCTAGGAGGTTCGCGCGGAGTTCGTGGGTCGGCGCTGGGGGCGCCACCAGAGGGTCGCCCAGCGCCGATCCAAGAAATCCGCGCGGACCTCCCAGAAATTATGTCTGTACCGCTGCTCGTTCGTTCAAGGAGTGGGCCTCGATGCGCGCGGTCGGCTTGCTCGAGAGGCACATCGAGGCCCGGCACATCACGTCGGAGATGCTCTTCTCGAAGGGGAGAGGTCGGCATAAGCACCTTAAGGTCGGCACCTAGGGATATGTCTCAAGCTGGCATAACAGGGGCTAAGTCGACCCTACCCCAGGCTTCGAATGGACCAGGAATTTGGGGCAGAACTCTGGGATATAGGACAGGGGTGCATCCATCCTCGATTGGGGTGCATCCGATGGACCCCCCTGGGATGTATCCCGAGTTTCATCTCGAACGCATGTTTTCCAAACGCACTTTTATATTGCTACTACCCGGTACCCCTTGTAGTGCCGCTCCTCTCTCTATGTCCCGTCTTCGCCCCTATGTCTCTCGCGGGTGTGCCGTCGCTCAAGTTTCGGCTCGAGGATTTCCAGAGAAAGTTGCGAACTTTCAGGATTTTGTATCGTACCGCGGGGGGAACAGATCCTTCCGCTTCTCGAGCTGACGCTACGAAATTGTGGTGGTAAGGAGTGGCCGCACTCGTCGTTTGGAACGCTGGCGACGTCGCGGACGAGGGCCACGCTCTCAGGGCGGCAGCCGAGGAGGCAGAACTTTTCGACGAGAACGATTTCGAGCCGGTCGAGGGTATCGTTGTGAAGGGTACCACAGCTGTTGTCCTGATGGCGCCTCGGTCGCGGTAGAACAGGATATACTACAAGACGGGCCCTTCCCAAGGGGTAGTGATGCTACTCTGTCGCGGGCCGGGAAGTCGAACAGCATTACGTGGACAGCGTGAGACCCGACCCTGGGAGCGCAGATCATCAATGCGCGCGACAAGGAAATAGCGTTCACGAAGCCACTCAAGGAGCTGTCCTGGACAGAGCGCCCATGGCTGAGTGGATCAAGCAGGGACAGGGTGCTGGCGGCCTCAGCGGGGCTCATATCCCGACGGGGGCTGGAGGCCGAGGAGGCGAAGCCGTCCGCCGCGAACAAAGCGAGGTTCCAGAAGAAGAAGAAGAAGCTAAGCAGGAAGACGGACCTCTACGACTGGCCCAAGAGTGGCGTGATGAACGCGTTCGATTTCTTCTGGATACGGAGGCTGGCGGGAGGCGCACTGGCGGTCTTTTTTCCCAACCATCCTGTGGTGTTGGGTCCTCGTTTTGAAGAGACGGTGCCCGCGTCCTCTCCTCTCCTCCTCTTCCCCCTCCTCCCTCCTCCCCCTCCTTGCCTCTGCTCTCGGCACACCTCTCACGCGTTTCGTAGCCCCATAGGGAGCTCCACCGAAGGCCCCAGTGGGGGTGTTCGCATGCGGTTCCCCCACCCAGGGCAGCGTTTCGTGGCCCCATAGGGAGCTCCACCGAAGGCCCCAGTGGGGGTGTTCGCATGCGGTTCCCCCACCCAGGGCAGCGTTTCGTGGCCCCATAGGGAGCTCCACCGAAGGCCCCAGTGGGGGTGTTCGCATGCGGTTCCCCCACCCAGGGCAGCGTTTCGTAGCCCCATAGGGAGCTCCACCGAAGGCCCCAGTGGGGGTGTTCGCATGCGGTTCCCCCACCCAGGGCAGCGTTTCGTAGCCCCATAGGGAGCTCCACCGAAGGCCCCAGTGGGGGTGTTCGCATGCGGTTCCCCCACCCAGGGCAGCGTTTCGTGGCCCCATAGGGAGCTCCACCGAAGGCCCCAGTGGGGGTGTTCGCATGCGGTTCCCCCACCCAGGGCAGCGTTTCGTGGCCCCATAGGGAGCTCCACCGAAGGCCCCAGTGGGGGTGTTCGCATGCGGTTCCCCCACCCAGGGCAGCGTTTCGTGGCCCCATAGGGAGCTCCACCGAAGGCCCCAGTGGGGGTGTTCGCATGCGGTTCCCCCACCCAGGGCAGCGTTTCGTGGCCCCATAGGGAGCTCCACCGAAGGCCCCAGTGGGGGTGTTCGCATGCGGTTCCCCCACCCAGGGCAGCGTTTCGTGGCCCCATAGGGAGCTCCACCGAAGGCCCCAGTGGGGGTGTTCGCATGCGGTTCCCCCACCCAGGGCAGCGTTTCGTGGCCCCATAGGGAGCTCCACCGAAGGCCCCAGTGGGGGTGTTCGCATGCGGTTCCCCCACCCAGGGCAGCGTTTCGTCCCCCATAGGGAGCTCCACCGAAGGCCCCAGTGGGGGTGTTCGCATGCGGTTCCCCCACCCAGGGCAGCGTTTCGTGGCCCCATAGGGAGCTCCACCGAAGGCCCCAGTGGGGGTGTTCGCATGCGGTTCCCCACCCAGGGCAGCGCTTCGTGGCCCCATAGGGAGCTCCACCGAAGGCCCCAGTGGGGGTGTTCGCATGCGGTTCCCCCACCCAGGGCAGCGTTTCGTGGCCCCATAGGGAGCTCCACCGAAGGCCCCAGTGGGGGTGTTCGCATGCGGTTCCCCCACCCAGGGCAGCGTTTCGTAGGCCCCATAGGGAGCTCCACCGAAGGCCCCAGTGGGGGTGTTCGCATGCGGTTCCCCCACCCAGGGCAGCGTTTCGTGGCCCCATAGGGAGCTCCACCGAAGGCCCCAGTGGGGGTGTTCGCATGCGGTTCCCCCACCCAGGGCAGCGTTTCGTGGCCCCATAGGGAGCTCCACCGAAGGCCCCAGTGGGGGTGTTCGCATGCGGTTCCCCCACCCAGGGCAGCGTTTCGTGGCCCCATAGGGAGCTCCACCGAAGGCCCCAGTGGGGGTGTTCGCATGCGGTTCCCCCACCCAGGGCAGCGTTTCGTGGCCCCATAGGGAGCTCCACCGAAGGCCCCAGTGGGGGTGTTCGCATGCGGTTCCCCCACCCAGGGCAGCGTTTCGTGGCCCCATAGGGAGCTCCACCGAAGGCCCCAGTGGGGGTGTTCGCATGCGGTTCCCCCACCCAGGGCAGCGTTTCGTGGCCCCATAGGGAGCTCCACCGGAGGCCCCAGTGGCTGCTCTCGCATGCGGTTCCCCCACCCAGGGCAGCGCTTCGTGGCCCCATGGGGAGCTCCACCGAAAGCCCCCGTGGCGCAGTTCGCATGCGCTTCCCCCACCCAGGGCAGCGTTTCGTGGCACCATAGGGAGCTCCACCGAAGGCCCCAGTGGCGCAGTTCGCATGCGGTTCCCCCACCCAGGGCAGCGTTTCGTAGCCCCATAGGGAGCTCCACCGAAGGCCCGCCCCGGTGGCGCAGTCCGCATGCGGTTCCCCCATCCAAGGCAGCGCTTCGTGGCCCCATATGGAGCCCCACCGAAAGCGGCACCCACAACGCGTTACCAACAATTGCTTATGGTTGGGTCTTTCGCCAGGATAATTTTTGGTTGGGAGACGTGGAAGTTCTTCTTGTTGGGCTCGGTGCCGCATGTCAGTATGATTCGTTCTTGGCGGCAGGAGAGCTCGCCGAGGAAGCACACGGGTGGCGCGAGAAGGCCGAGGAGATGCACGAGTCAGGGGAGCTCGAGCAGTTCGTGACCTCAGTGGGCATCGCGGTGTCGGCTCCACTCCTGGGCTATAAGCTGTTACTTGGGGGATGGCTTGCCAAGCTGGGAAGGGGCGGAAGCAATGACAGCGAGAGCGAGGCGTCCGATTCCGATTTCGCGAACGGCACGGTGGTGGCTGACTCAGACGACGAGCCAGACTCTCGGCGCTTGTTCGCGCAGCTGGCGCGGGGGCAGAACGCGCCCCAAGCGCCCGCTGCTTCGCTCGCGGACCTGGTCAAGATGAAGGCCGACAGTGGGGCCGACGAGGCAGCGGGCACGACGAAGAAGAAGCTCAGTTTTGACACCGACGAGGGCGAGGCGCAGACCCGCGTCAAGCCGACAGACGCGCAGATCGATTACTTCATCAAGAAGCTGCAGGAGCACGAGGCGACGGTCTCGGCCGACTCCGCGGCGGGGGCGAGGGGCGGCCCCGCGCCAGCGACGCCGCCTCGGGGGCGGCGGGGAGTTGGGAGACAATTTCCTCGCTGGGGAGCTCTAGCGCAGGCGGGGCGGCGGCGAAGTTGGAGACCGAGGCTCGCAATCCCACTGGGGGGCTCCTGGCCACACGGAGGTCCCATCGGGAGGTTGGCGGCGCGCGTGTCGGTGGAGTTCGGGCTCGCGCGGCCCCTGCACTGCTGGCCCGCCGGTACAAGTGAGGGCGGGGCGCTAGGGCGGAGCTCGAGGACTGGCCGAGGTCGGAGGGGCTGACGAAGTGCTCGATCGCCTCCGAGATCCACGCGCCGGCGGCCGCGCTGGACGAGGCGATGCCCTGCGGGGGGGCCGACGCGCTGATCATCTCGCAGGCGGCGGACCTGACCTGCCTCGGGATCTACTCGATTCTCCCAAGCCGACCCCCCGCTCTGCGCGGCTGCGCCGGGGCGGGGCATCGCTGGCGCAAAGGTCGCGGCAAGGAGGCTTGCGGCGCTTCCTTGCCAAGCCGACGCGAAGGGCGCAAGTCCGCGTAGCTTCCTCTTCCGCGGGTTCAGCGAAGTTCGGGCGGCTGCGAGAGGGAAGGACTTCGTGCGACGGCGCTCGAGCTTGGCGCTGTTCAGCATCACCCTCCCGGCTCTCTTTGAGCACTTGCATATCAGGAGGTCGACGAGTACGCAGTTGGCCATCGCTCGTCGGGGCCATGGAGTCCAGTTGTCCCCCAGTTCCTCCGGCGGAGGTGTCGGGCCGTCAGCGGGGCCCTCTTCGGGCCCCCATTCCCATCGTTCGGGGCAGCGGGGGCTTCCGGCGCGAAGCTGTCAGAGGCGCGGCCGAGGGTTACCTTGGAGAAGGCCGTCGCGGGCCATTGCTGCCACTCGTGTTTGGCGCGTGGACGCGCCCGCGTTCTGGAGGAGCTTCAGGGGCGCCCCTCACAGGAGGCCACGGTCGCGCGCAACTCCATTGCAGCGCACCGTCGTCAACGAGCTGCGGGACAGGCAGGCGGAGAGAGCCAGCTGGGGAGGCATCATCGACGGCGGGGCGGTACTCCGCCGTCTTGGGAAATTGCAAACGATGGGCTACGGCGCGTCGGAGAAGATGAAGAAAGGCACGGGCACGATCAAGACGGCGATATGTGCGACTTGATAGCGGACCAGGCCTCGGCGCCGAAGGCAGGAGCGAAGGGCCTCGGCGCGCGCCCCCTTGCGCGCACGGCGCTGCCTTGCCTCGAGAACGCGGCGGGGCCCATGCTTAGGTGCGACGACCAAGTGGGCTGGGACAAGTACCAGCAGACGGTGAGCTACAGCGACCCTGGATGGAAAGTGAAGTCGAGCCGGTCGGCGCTTTCGCTCAAGATATGCGAAGCTGGCATGCTCAGTTATGTCGAGGAGGTGGGGGAGTTCGCGGGGGTTCGCACGGTGGCGAAGAACCTAGAGGAAGGGGAGTTTCACGGTCATCAAGGCGTCTCGACTTGTCTGGGATTGCCGTCGTCTCAACTCGAGGTTCATGGAGCTTCCGCGGACGGGCCTCGGGCCACCGAGCGCGCTAAGCGGGCTGGACCTGCCGCCCGATTTCCAAAGAAAGAAGGAGTTGTGTGCTTTTTTTTCGGGCGACATCCCAGACCAGTTCTACAGGCCGAGGTGGGCGGGCAGGTAGCAGAGCAGAGTGCTCTGGATGACGCTACACCGAGCGAGCTCTGGGAGTACGCGAAGGCGCAGGGCAAGGAGCTACAAGTGCCTCGGGTGGGGCAGATTTGGGTCGGAGCCATCGCCCCCGTCATCGGGCGCCCTTGGGCTGTCTTCCTCGCCCATCTTGATGCTGCGCATCGACGAACGACATTGAAGTGGACAAGGAGGCCGCGAAGCGGGTGCTGATGGAGACGGTCCTCGAGGTACACAAGGAGGAGCGGGGGCCTGGGCTGCAGCGAGGGCAGGGCATCACGGCGAGGGGTCGCCCGCACCAGGCGACGGTTCATCCCGAGAAGCTGAGGGAGCGGGTCCTCGCGACGGAGGCGCTTGCGGCGAAGCCCTTCGCGTCGCTTGCGAGGCTCTCGTCGCTCCTGGGCACGTGGACTTGGACGTTCACGATCTGCCGCTCGGGTCTGCCATCCTGGACTCCATCTGCAAGTGGATCAACGAGCGCGACAAGGCCCGGGACGAAGTCCTACCCCTGTCGAACCGCGCAGTCTCGGAGCTGACGGCGCTAGCCAACCTCTGCGTCTACTTCGCGGCGAATCTGGAGGCGGAGTGGGCCGCGCAGGCCCGCGCGAAGGATGCGTCGGAGTTCAGCGACGGGGCGGTCGCGACGGAGGTGGCCGCCAGCGAGCGCAGGCGGGAAGTGGCCAAGAGCGATTTCCAGACGCGGCCCGTCAGGGCCGAGGAGGCCGTCGCCGCGGCAGAGGACGAGGTCGCGGGGGCAGGGGAGGAGGACGACGAGCCTGTTGGGCCGCCAGCGGGAAGGCCAGGATTCCCAGAGTTGTCGAGCGAGGTCGAGAGGGCCAGCGACGACGTGGGGGCCTTTCTATCATATGCGGTGCGAGGCCTCCGACATGCTGGGAGGGTTGTCTTACGAGCTCCTGGAGCCGAGAGGCCGGGGCTTCTCTCCGGTCGGATTCGGAGGCGCTGGTGGTGGCGCGTCCATCTGGCGCCGTCTGGGTCTCCTGCGGAGCGGCAATTGGCTTTCGAGGTGGCGAAGCTCTTCCACGGGGAGGGGCTCATCTTCACGGCAGTGGTCAAGATGGACGGGGGGTACGGTAACCTTTGGAGCGAGCTGAGCAAGCTGGACGAGGTCCTCTGCTTCCAGACGGAGTTTGGGGAGGGCACGGCGACGCCGCTGACGAACGACGGGCGGTTCGAGACCCTGCAGCGCGAGAAGATCGGCGAAGTAGAGCGCGTGAACGCCGCGAGGTTCAGGTACATCGCGAGGTGGAGGTCACGCCACCGCGAGGCGGTGGCCAAGATCGAACCATGCCGGAGCACGATCGGGGGCGGGGTTCAGGCGCGGTTCGAAGGTGGCGTCCTCGAAGTCGTCAAGCGGCGCGGGCAAGCCTTGCCCGCGTAATTGCAGTGGGCGAAGGAGGGGAGGTGGTCCTTGCTCTTGAAGGGGCTATGGCGCCGGGAGGAGCACAACAACACATTTGAGTTGAGGACGATCGCGGCACTGTTCCGACACTTGCCGTGTACGAGGCGCACGCGGGGGAGGCGCGCGCTGGTTTTCTCTGATTCCTTGGTCGCCATGGGCGCGCTGTCGAAGTGTCGCTCATCAGCGTCGGAGCTACTGCCATTGGCCCGCCAGGCTGCGGCGGCGGCCCTAGTCTCCGGCATCAAGCTGCACTTGAGGCGGGTGGCGCCCGAGGACAACGTAGCGGACGGGTCGAGCAGGGGCCTGGACATCGACGCGGCAGAGGCGACGAAGCAAGAGCACACGTGGAGACATGCGCCGCAGGCGTTGCGCATTTTCTTTGGTGGGAGGAACGAGGCGACTATTGGGTCGACGGCGGCTTCGAGCGGGCCATGACCGACGGCAGCAAGAGCCACGGCGGCGAGGACTCCGGGCGTCGTCGCCTGTTTTGCTTCGAGGGCGTTAGATCGCAAGTCCATACGCAGCCCCGTTTCGGGGAAGGCGCCCTGGTTCGGTCGCCATGTCTTTTGCTGGGCCTCGAGGGCTCTAGATGGCAAGTCCAGGCGCAGCCCCGTTTCGGGGGAAGCGCCCTGGTTCGGTCGCCACGTTCCTCGCTGGGGCGCGCGGACGTAGCCTCGGGAACGGCACTTTGCGCGAAAGCGCACCACTGCATTACGACAAAAGGCTGGTCATACACGCGGTAGACGACAAGACGAACGTGACGTACGAGAAGGCAGTCAGAGAGTTTCTGACCGATGCGAAGAGGATGATCCTCCCGTTCCACTCGGTGTTCCTACGTGACACGGCTTTGGCTTCTCTTGTTGTCAGACGTGTCATGAGCGACGAGTGGGGCATGCTCGAGGCAGCCTCCTGTTCAACAGTTGCATGCGCATCTTCGAAGACCACGGGCATTTTCTTCCACTGTCTGCTCGCGCTTTGAAGGCGCGGGAAAGGCAGCAGCAGGGCCAGGAGGGGCAGCCTATTCCCCCCCAGGCCCTTGGGCTCATCAGCTCGACCTCTGCCAGGCTGGGCGCGTGCTCGAGGCGCGCGCAGTGGTAGAGAAGCTGGACGGCTGGCTTCGCGGGCAGGATTGAGCACATTTACGTAAGTGTGGCATAGCGGTGGGCAGCTCTTGGACCAGGAGCTCAAGACGCGGCCGAATGGCATTGTTGTTGGGAGACAGATCCAGGGGCGAGAAGGTGGAAATAGGCTCGGGGCAAGGCGTCGAAGTGCTCATGGAGCTGACGAAGTACATGCTGCGGAATCTCTCAGAGGGTCGGGCCGACGGCGACCCGGCGATCCCAATCACCCCCCCCAGGCATGGCATGATGTGGCAAGCGTCTCTCGAGAGCATGGGCCTCGAGGCCCTTGGCCCACCTCGCGGCATCAGGCATGCTGGGGCTGCTCAGCACGCGGCCAACGGAGGCGACTTGGCGACAGCGAGGGGGGGGGGGGCGCGGGACTACGTCGAGGGCGCCGGACTACGTCGAGTGCTTTGCAGCGCTACACCAAGACGCATGTCTTGATCCAGAGGCGCCCCCTCTTCCAGGCAGATCAGATCGACCAGGGCGAACGGTTTTGGCAGGCCCCAGGCATGGCGATGCCCAGGGCCGTAGGAAAATCCGAGGCGGCGGACAAGCCGCTCACCGTGAGCCTGATTGCAGCACTTTCTCAGCTTTCGAGCGACAGTCTGGAGTTGGGCTGCGCCGCGTCTCGGGCGAGGCCGGAGGCGGGGCGTCCGCGGACAGGGGGCAAGGCCCTGTTCCGACGCCGAGGAACCGCCTAGCCCCCTTTCACTTTGCACTCGAGGTGGCGAAGTGCATGCGCTAATTTAAACGGATACGCGCCAAAGCTGGGGGCGTTCACAATGGAGAGCTAAGTGTTATATATTTATTCCTCCCTCCCCCCCACCTGCGGCGCTTCTTTTGAAGTCCCGATGCAGGGCATTCAGCCAGAAGGGGTTTTGTGGCCTTCGCGGGTTTCCGCATTCTGTTTTGAGTTTCTGGCGGCCGTTACGGGCCATGAAGGTCAGGCACTTGCGCGCCCTCGTGCAAGTGCCGTCTCAGGCTTGATTGCACGAGTGCTCTGGATTATATTGGGGTCAGGAGCCCCACGTGTAGCCTGTGCCGCAGAAAGCGTCGGTCATTCAAGCGCGGTTGTTCGGTGATCTTTTGTTTGCGCAGGCCCGTCGGCCGCGTCCGTCTGCCTCCCAACCTTTGGTAAAAGAGGTCCCCCTCGCACAGCCTGGTTTAAAGAGGAAAGGTCGAGCTTTCGGACGTCACGTTTTTCTTATTTGTTCGGCCTCTGGTGGCCATTCCCAGGCCTTGGGACCGTCAAATACGAATCAGGAGTGCGAGACCCAAGGGGCCGACGTCGCAAACGAATGGCAACTCTTGAGTTGAGAGGGTCCGCGCGGATTTCTCGGACCGGCGCCGGATACCCCTGGCGGCGCCTCCGGCGCCGCCCCCCGCGCGCTCCGCGCGCCAGGGGAGGGAGGGGTCCAGCGCCGACCCGAGAGGTCCTCGCGGGCCCCGAAAGCGTGCGTTTTGTGCCGACGTCTCTCTTTCCGCCCTCGCCCCCAGCAGCGTCGACTGCGCGGAGCTGGCGGCGGCGGAAGCGGAAGCCTCGGGGCGCTTGGCAGGAGCAGGTCGGGCGGGGCTGGGACCGGGATAGATCGTTCCCGAACGATTTGGTGCGTTTTCACAGCATCCCGAAGCGTTCTGGAACGGCCGTGCGTACCTCGGGATCCCAGAGATTCCCGCGCTGCCTGGAGCCATTCTGAGAGCCTTTTCGGGGCGCCTCATGGCCCTCGTGTTGGGCCCCTCTTGGGCCATGCTCGGCCTCTGTTGGGGCCCTCTCGGCCATCTTGGGGCAGGGGTGGGGGCCTCCTGGCACGCCTTGCAAGCCCTGAGCGACAAAGAGTGCGGTCCGACACGGACGGGGTTAGGACGAGGATAAATCCGTTCCAGAGCGCCCGGGATCGCTCTCAAAGAGTTGCTCTCCTCCATTGCCGCCGGATCGTAGAAACTCTCGATGCATCCTCACCGATGTTGTCCTCGTCCTGGCTTCGTCTTACCGACTATGTCCCGGTTTGGGCTTTGTCTCAGCAGGGCGCTTTCTCGTCGAGGCGCTCAAGGCCCTCTGCACGGGCGGCCTGTCCCTCCTCTGGCGGCAGCCGCGGCGGCCCCGGGCGAGGGCCCGGGCCGCCGACCACGTGGCCGAGACCGTGCAGAGGGGGCCGGCCACGGCGGCGCCCGCCAGGGAAGCCGACCTCCGCTCGGCGAGCGCGCCGCGGGAGCCCGGAGGGCGAGGAACATGCAACCCTGGAGACCTTGGCGCTGCCGTTGTTCACCGCGGGCGTGTTCGCCCGGTTTCGGGCCCGGGGACCCTCGCAGATCGATGCGGCTCGAAAAGTGGGGCAGGGAGTGGGGTCCAGGGTTCGATGCGTGAGTTTTCACGATGTTTCAGTTTTGTTCGCGACGTCGGATCTCAAGGTTCAAGCAGTGGCGAAGTGCTTTGACTTGCTTATAGGCCCACCGAATAATGTTCTAAGAGCCGCTTGTGGCTTGCACGGCGTGTTATGTGAGCATGCCTGGCTGAGACAGTCTTGTCTAAATATATCGGCTTCTGTCTAAGAGCATTGTTCTTGTTGGTGGAAGTTTCTTGCGTTCTAAAAGAATGTCGTGGAGGCCTATAGGAATGCTGGGAAGGCCGGCCCCTGCTCAATCGTGGGCGAAGAGCATGTTTATCCCCATCGAGTTCGGTTGAAAGTTCGCGCAGACATTTACACTCAAAGGCAAGAATACATGGAGCCAGCGGAGGCGCCTGAGCGGGCGCCACGTCGGCGAGCGACACGTTTCTGCGCAGCCGCTTCGTGGGCTGGATGGCCTCCCACGCGTTGGGGGGAGGCAGGTCATCTTCCAGATAACAGAAGCCAGCTTCTGGCGATGATGCGTGCGGGCGGAAGACATGTCCGTATTCGCGGCCTCGCGGGTTGGGCCCCCGGGCCGTGACCCCGCGGACACGGGTGTTTCCTCGCGGATGCCCCGCGCGGAACGTATCCGTGCGACCGCGTATCAGCGGGATCGCGCCCCGGAATCCAGACCGCGAGGGTGTTTGTCCGCCGCTCGTGAGGAGCCGCCGGTCGCGGCGGCGCCTCCAGCCGCCGCCGACCACGTGGGCGAGGTTTGCCGGACAAAGAGCGGTGCCCGGATCTCCGACGATGCCGTTCTCTGCGACGAGCGGGCGTGCTTCAGTTTTGGCCTTGGGGTCCCGTTGTCGGGCCCTGCCTGAGATCCTGGCGTCGCATTTGTTCCAACCATCCTGTGGTGTTGGGTCCTCGTGTTGAAGAGACAGCGCCCAGCGCCCCGCGTCTCCTCTCCTCTCCTCCTCCTCCCCCCCAACCCTCTTCCCATCCGCCTCAGGCCGCATGCGTCAACGCCACCCAGGACAGCGTTTCGCGGCCTCATAGGGAGCTCCACCGAAGGCTCCAGTGGCACAGGCCGCATGCAGCAACGCCACCCAGGGCAGCGCTTCGTGGCCCCATAAGGAGCTCCACCGAAGGCTCCAGTGGCGGGGTTCGCATGCGTCAACGCCACCCAGGGCAGCGCTTCGTGGCCCCATAGGAAGCTCCACCGAAGGCTCCAGTGGCACAGGCCGCATGCGCCAACGCCACCCAGGGCAGCGTTTCGTGGCCCCATAGGGAGCTTCACCGAAGGCTCCAGAGGCACAGGCCGCAATCGCCAACGCCACCCAGGGCAGCGCTTCGTGGCCCCATAGGGAGCTCCACCGAAGGCTCCAGTGGCACAGGCCGCATGCGTCAACGCCACCCAGGACAGCGTTTCGTGGCCCCATAGGGAGCTCCACCGAAGGCTACAGTGGCACAGGGCGCATGCGCCAACGCCACCCAGGACAGCGTTTCGTGGCCCCACAGGGAGCTCCATCGAAGGCTCCAGTGGCACAGGGCGCATGCGTCAACGCCACCCAGGACAGCGCTTCGTGGCCCCAGAGGGAGCTCCACCGAAGGCTCCAGTGGCACAGGCCGCATGCGCTAACGCCACCCAGGACAGCGCTTCGTGGCTCCATAGGGAGCTCCACCGAAGGCTCCAGTGGCACAGGCCGCAAACGACAACGCCGCCTAGGACAGCGCTTCGTGGCCCCATATGGAGCTCCACCGAAGGCTCCAGTGGCACAGGCCGCACCATCCAGGACAGCGCTTCGTGGCCCCGTAGGGAGCTCCACCGAAGGCTTCAGTGGCACAGGCCGCATGCGTCAACGCCACCCAGGACAGCGCTTCGTGGCTCCAGAGGGAGCTCCACCGAAGGCTCCAGTGGCACAGGCCGCATGCGTCAACGCCACCCACGACAGCATTTCGTGGCCCCACAGGGAGCTCCACCGAAGATTCCAGTGGCACAGGCCGCATGCAGCAACGACTCCCAGGACAGCGCTGCGTGGCCCCATAGGAGGCTCCACCGAAGGCTCCAGTGGCACAGGGCGCATGCGTCAACGCCACCCAGGACAGCGCTTCGTGGCCCCATAAGAAGCTCCACCGAAGGCTCCAATGGCACAGGCCGCATGCAGCAACGACTCCCAGGACAGCGCTGCGTGGCCCCATAGGAGGCTCCACCGAAGGCTCCAGTGGCACAGGGCGCATGCGCCAACGCCACCCAGGACAGCGCTTCGTGGCCCCAGAGGGAGCTCCGGCTCCAGTGGCACAGGCCGCATGCGTCAACGCCACCCAGGACAGCGCTTCGTGGCCCCATAGGAAGCTCCACCGAAGGTTCCAGTGGAACAGGCCGCATGCGTCAACGCCACCCAGGACAGCGCTTCGTGGCCCCATAAGGAGCTCCACCGAAGGCTCCAGTGGCACAGGCCGCATGCAGCAACGCCACCCAGGGCAGCGCTTCGTGGCCCCATAAGGAGCTCCACCGAAGGCTCCAGTGGCGGGGTTCGCACGCGTCAACGCCACCCAGGACAGCGCTACGTGGCGCCATAGGGAGCTCCACCGAAGGCTCCAGTGGCACAGGCCGCATGCGTCAACGCCACCCAGGACAGCGCTTCGTGGCTCCAGAGGGAGCTCCACCGAAGGCTCCAGTGGCACAGGCCGCATGCGTCAACGCCACCCACGACAGCATTTCGTGGCCCCACAGGGAGCTCCACCGAAGATTCCAGTGGCACAGGCCGCATGCGCCAACACCACCCGGGACAGCGCTTCGTGGCCCCATAGGGAGCTCCACCGAAGGCTCCAGTGGCACAGGCCGCGTGCGTCAACGCCACCCAGGACAGCGTTTCGTGGCCCCACAGGGAGCTCCACCGAAGGCTCCAGTGGCACAGGCCGCATGCGTCAACGCCACCCAGGACAGCGCTTCGTGGCCTCATAGGGAGCTCCACCGAAGGCTCGAGTGGCACAGGCCGCATGCGTCCACGCCACCCAGGACAGCGCTTCGTGGCCCCAGAGGGAGCTCCACCGAAGGCTCCAGAGGCACAGGCCGCATGCGTCAACGCCACCCAAGACAGCGCTACGTGGCCACACAGGGAGCTCCACCGAAGGCTCCTGTGACACAGGCCGCGTGCGCCAACGCCGCCCAGGACAACGTTTCGTGGCCTCATGAGTTCCGCCGAAGGCTCCAGTGGCGCCGTTCGCATGCGTTTCCCCCACCTCAGACAACGTTTCGTGGCCCTACAGGGAGCTTCACCGAAGGCTCCAGCGGCATCGTTCGCATGCGTTTCCCCCACCCAGGACAGCGTTTCGTGGCCCCATAGGGAGCTCCACCGAAGGTCCCGGTGGCGCTGTTCGCATGCGTCCCCCCCACCCAGGGCAGCGCTTCGTGACCCCATAGGGAGTTCCACCAAAGGCTCCAGTGCCACCCAGGACAGCGCTTCGTGGTCCCATAGGGAGCTCCAACGAAGGTCCCAATGTCGCAGTTCGCATGCGTCTCCCCCCACCCAGTGCAACGCTTCGTGGCCCCATAGGGAGCTCCACCGAAGGCTCCACTGGCGGTGTCCATATGCGTCCGCGCCATCGATTTCGGCGCACCCCTCGCACGTTTCGTGGCCCCAGAGCTCCACCGAAAGCGGTTTCACAATGCGGCACTCGCAGTTGCATATGGTTGGGTCCTTCGTCAGGCTAATTTTCCAGCCAGGCGTTTCAGTTTGTTTTCGGGCCCCGGGACCTTCACAGAACGATCCGGCTCGAAGAAGGGCACCAAAAGATGGGGTCCAGGGCTCCAGGCGTCATTTTCACGATGACGGATCTCAGGTGGCCCCTGGGCCACCAAGAGTGGGTGCAGTGGCGAATCGCTCCAGCAAGGCACCCGAATAGCAGCAGAGGCGGAGAGGCGATCGAGGAGCAGGAGAAGCACCACGGCCAAGAAACCCTGAGAAAATTAGTTTGACGAAGGACCCAACCAAATGCAGTTGCGAGCACCGCATTGTGGGTACCAGTTTCGGTGGAGCTCCCTATGGGGCCACGAAACGCTTTCTGGGGCGGCGTTGACGCATGCGGCCTGTGGAGCTCCCTATAGGGCAACGAAGCGTTATCCTGGGTGGCGTTGACGCATGCAGCCCGCCACTGGAGCCTTCGGTGGAGCTCCCTTTGGGGCCACGAAACGCTGTCCTGGGTGGCGTTGACGCATGCGGCCTGTGCCACTGGAGCCCTCGGTGGAGCTCCGCATGGGGCCACGAAACGCTGTCCTTGGTGGCGTTGGCGCATGCGCCCTGTGCCACTGTAGCCTTCGGTGGAGCTCCCTATGGGGCCACGAAACGCTGTCCTGGGTGGCGTTGACGCATGCGGCCTGTGCCACTGGAGCCTTCGGTGGAGCTCCCTATGGGCCCCCCCCCCCGGCCCCCGACGGCCCCGGACAGAGCGCGCCATGGGGGAGCAGAGGGCCCCAAAACGGGCCAAGAGGGCACTTTGACGCCGCTCAGATGGCCCCAGAGACCCACGAGTCGCCGAAAGATCGAGCCAAAACGTCCAAGATGACATCCAGACGGCCCAAGATGCCTCCAAGACGTTCCCAGACGCCTCCAAGAGGCCCCAAGAGGCGTCCCAAGAGGGCCCCAAGAGGCCAAAATCATAGATTTCCTATTGGGAAGCGTATATGTTTAACATCTACGGCTTTTCAGCTTTGACGGCGTTGAAGACCGGCCAAGAAGCCCCCAAGACCACCCCAAGACGGCCCAAGAGGCTCCCCAGAGGTCCCCAAAACGGCCCAAGAGGGCGCCAAGACGGCCCAAGAGGCGCCCAAGACGGTCCAAGAGGGCTCCAAGACGGCCCCAAGAGGGGGACCACGAAACGAAAATCCGAACCGTTCGCCCCGAAAAGCTGTCCTGGGTGGCGTTGACGCATGCGGCCTGTGCCACTGGAGCCTTCGGTCGAGCTCCCATGGGGCCACGAAACGCTGTCCTGGGTGGCGTTGACGCATGCGGCCTGTGCCTCTGGAGCCTTCGGTGGAGCTCCCTGTGGGGCCACGAAACGCTGTCCTGGGTGGCGTTGACGCATGCGGCCTGTGCCTCTGGAGCCTTCGGTGGAGCTCCCTATGGGGCCCCGAAGCGCTGTCCTGGGTGGCGTTGTCGCATGCGGCCTGTGCCACTGGAGCCTTCGGTGGAGCTCCCTGTGGGGCCAGGAAATGCTGTCCTGGGTGGCGTTGACGCACGCGGCCTGTGCCACTGGAGCCTTCGGTGGAGCTCCCTATGGGGCCACGAAAACGTGGCCTGTGCCACTGGAAATGCTGTCCTGGGTGGCGTTGACGCACGCGGCCTGTGCCACTGGAGCCTTCGGTGGAGCTCCCTATGGGGCCACGAAACGCTTTCCTGGGTGGTGTCGACGCATGCGGCCTGTGCCACTGGAGCCTTCGGTGGAGCTCCCTACGGGGCCACGAAACACTTTCCTGGGTCGCGTCGACGCATGCGGCCTGTGCCACTGGAGCCTTGGAGCTCCCTATGGGGCCCCGAACTGGGTGTCGCATGCGGCCTGTGTGGAGCCTTCGGTGGAGCTCCCTATGGGGCCACGAAACGCTGTCCTGGGTGGCGTTGACGCATGCGGCCTGTGCCACTGGAGCCTTCGGCGGAGCTCCCTATGGGGCCACGAAACGCTGTCCCGGGTGGCGTTGACGCATGCGGCCTCTGCCATTGGAGCATTCGGTGGAGCTCCCTATGGGGCCACTAAACGCTGTCCTGAGTGGCCTGTGCAACTGGAGCCTTCGGCGGAGCTCCCTATGAGACCACGAAACGCTGTCTTGGGTGGCGTTGACGCATGCGGCCTGTGCCACTGGAGCCTTCGGTGGAGCTCCCTATGGAGCCACGAAGCGCTGTCCCTGGTGGCGTTGTCGCATGCGGCCTGTGCCACTGGAGCCTTCGGTGGAGCTCCCTATGGGGCCATGAAACGCTGTCCTGGGTGGCGTTGGCGCATGCGGCCTGTGCCACTGGAGTTTTTGGCGGAGCTCCCTATGGGGCCACGAAATGTTGTTCTGGGTGGCGTTGACGCATGCTGTCTGTGCCACTGGAGCCTTCGGTGGAGCTCCCTATGGGGCCACGAAGCGCTGTCCTGGGTGGCGTTGGCGCATGCGGCCTGTGCCACTGGAGCCTTCGGTGGAGCTCCCTATGGGGCCACGAAACGCTGTCCTGGGTGGCGTTGACGCATGCGGCCTGTGCCACTGGAGCCTTCGGTGGAGCTCCCTTTGGGGCCACGAAAGGCTGTCCTGGGTGGCGTTGTCGCATGCGGCCTGTGCCACTGGAGCCTTCGGTGGAGCTCCCTGTGGGGCCCCGAAGCGCTGTCCTGGGTGGCGTTGACGCATGCGGCCTGTGCCACTGGAGCCTTCGGTGGAGCTCCCTATGGGGCCACGACACGCTGTCCTGGGTGGCGTTGACGCATGCGGCCTATGCCAGTAGAGCCTTCGGTGGAGCTCCCTATGGGGCCACGAAACGCTTTCCTGGGTGGCGTCGACGCATGCGGCCTGTGCCTCTGGAGCCTTCGGTGGAGCTCCCTATGGGGCCACGAAACGCTGTATTGAGTGGGTGAACCGCAGGGAGGCGACGAGGCGGATGGGAGGAGGGAGGAGGGGGAGGAGGAGGAGAGAAAAGGAGAGGAGAGGAGAGGAGAGGAGAGGAGAGGAGAGGAGGAGGAGACGTGTGACGCTGTCTCTTCAAAATAAGGACCTTAGTGCACGGCCATGTGCACCTTAGTATGTTTGTGTCCAGGGATCGTGGACGTCCCGACCAAGGATGTAGCCGGCATTGAGGCGAGATCGCGATTGCTAAATACATTGCGAGGAAGTCTCAGGGCTCAACGGCTGCCAGACCTGACGGTCCAGGGCTCCCCTTCACCCTTGTGGGAGCTTTCTTCTGCTCTCCTGCATTGCCATTATTAGAGCCCTTCGTAGCGAAACGCTATTTGGGAAAAGTGGCCGCCCTGGGGAAGTGGTCGGGACTGGAGCCGCGCATGGAAACACTCATGTCGTCGGGTGTCCCGGGATCGATGGAACAGCAAGTTCGTCCGGTGTCGGGGACGTTTGCGCAAGAGCGGCCGGAAAGTTTGCCACCGTAGGGATATTGCATGTCCAGCCGCCCTCAGGGGCAACATTCGGGGGGCATAGGCTCAAGGGGGGGGACGCATCGAACCCCAATCGCCCACCCACTCGTCGCCGAGAGAGGCCCGGATGGCCCACCCAGCCCAGGAGTTTCGAACGCACGCACTGCGTGTAAGCATTCGCAGCACGAGGCTGGCCTCGCGGACTGGGAGGCCGCATTCGTGCATGTGGCTGGGCGCATGCGTTCTCTGTGGGCGCCCCAGCGCCGATCAACAGAAAGCTCACGCGGAGCTTCGAAAGTTTCTGCTTATGCCGCTTGTTCTTCCTCGAGCTCCGCCAATCTCTGGACCTCTCCAGAGGGGGCGTTCGGGCAAGACTTCTGAGGGCGGATCCGGCCGTGGCGGCGGGGGCCTCGCAGGGGGCCCAGAGAGGCGAAGCCGAGGCAAGGGCAGCGGCGTGGGCGTGTGGCCGGGCGCGTACGTCCTCTGTGGGCTCCTTGCCCCATCGTTGCCCCTCGCGCCCCTGGCGCGGGCGTCCCCGACGGCGGAGGAGCTCACCCCTGGGCCGCTCTCCGTCCGCGCCAGAGGCCCTGCGGAGGCGGCCGGCCGCGGAGGCGGCACTGCGACGGCCGACGGGAGGCCACGAGGACGAGGACGCGTCTTAGTGCATCAAGCAGTGGCGAAGCGTCCTGGCGTGCCCACAGGCCCACCAGACAATGTTCTGAGAACCGCTTGTGGTTTCCACGACATGTTCTTAGAACATGTCTGGCTGGGACTGCCTTGTTTTAACACATCGGGCTTATGTTATAAGAACATCGTTTTGGTTCGTAGAACATTTTTGGGTTCTAAGAACATGTCGTGGTAGGCCTATAGACATGCCAGGACGGTCGGTCCCTGCTCAAGACGATCGAGGCTTTCCGGATGGGGTCTGGGGGGATAGGGTCGGAGGATCGCGCCGCATCGCCGATGCATCGGCGATGCGGCTCGATGTGGAGCCCAATTTTCTACACGCTGGCGTCGCCGGTGCTTCGCCAGCGTCGCCGATGCATCGCCGATGCATCGGCGCGAGGCTGCGCGAATCTCCGACCACATGTACTCGACCCCATCTAGGAGGCCTCTAGGCGTGTTTGTCCACAGAGGCCCTTCGACATGCGGAGAGCTTGGCGCACGGAGATGGCAGTGGCAGATACGGTTCCAAGGACTGCC